CTTCTGTTCACAAGGAGTCTGTGTTCTCCTAAAGCATAAATATGAATAATCTCTTTACTGAAGGATCATTTTATTATTAAATCTATTTGTATTTATAGTGATCCTCAGAACAATGAGGAAAGGAACTCTTTGTTCCTTTCTATGTTTTGGAATTTGACTGTGCCTTAGGCAGAACTGCAAAGACACCAGGGATTGGCATCCTTACTTGCCACAGAATTGTGAAGAGACTTCGGAAGTCCTCTACTACTTTGGAATTCATGTTCAGAGTTCCAAGAAAAACAAACAAACAAAAAAGCACTGAGTCCTCCTCTCAAATAAAATCTCATGAAGAAACCAGCTTATAAAGACAATAAACATCTTCCAGGCTAGTCAGGAAGAGATGGCTACTTCTTTTTTGTGTGTAGTCTCTGTCCACACCCCATCATATTGGTTCTCTGGACTCTTTTGAACTGTCAGGATCTCTGGACAACTTTGCATGTGGGTTAAAATGGCACTGGTCTGGTTCAAGGTGGTGGTGGGTCAGTGAGCAAAGCCCCATTTTCTCAGCCTTCCCTAGCCTGTAACTCCTCCCAAGCAGCACTGTGTAAGCCTAGGGCTCTCTGCGGCATTGCATTTTTTTGATGCTTAGCTAGTTCTTTTATAGATGAGACAGACCCAGCAAAGTAAAGTGACTTACCCAAAGACACACACAAAGCCAGTGGTACCAGAATCAAGATTATTACCATCAAAAGATAATTGAGTCTCTGTCCTATAGAAGCTTATAATGTAGTTGAAAGATAGGATATGTGTACATGAAAAGATAAGTGGAAAACTAAGATAGCCTGTACTCACAAGTGTCTATTAGTTCCACAAGTGTTTAGAAGACATCATGGTTCCTGGGATCTGAGACTCTCTCTCCACTGAATTTTTCTAAATATTTCATACATGGGTATTGCCATGGACCCCAGCTTCCAGTGGTAGCGCTGATAAATGAGCAGGGAAGAGAGGAAAGAAAGGGAAAAGAAGATGAAAATGGGAAGGAAATAATAAGGGGAAAGATGGGAAGATACTATAGGAAGAGAAGGTGACAGGAAGAGAGGAAGACCAGAGCATCTGAAAGGCCGAAGTCATCACACCTGCCCCAGGCAGGTAGGACTTCACCCATACTTTGGGGGAGGGGTCCTGAAGGAGCCCTGGGACTCCATTCTAATGGACTTCCATTCCAGCCTTGATGGTCAGAGTTTCCACGCCATAGTTTCTGTGGTCCATCCTCTCTTCTCTTTGACCCTTTTCAGCCTCAACACAGAACAGTAGGAGTGGAATCGTAGTCTGTTCCAGGCTGGCTCCCAAAGTTCCCGAGTTCCCAAAATCACATTAAAAAAAAGGGCGAGGGGCGCCTGGGTGGCGCAGTCGGTTAAGCGTCCGACTTCAGCCAGGTCACGATCTCGCGGTCCGTGAGTTCGAGCCCCGCATCAGGCTCTGGGCTGATGATGGCTCAGAGCCTGGAGCCTGTTTCAGATTCTGTGTCTCCCTCTCTCTCTGCCCCTCCCCCGTTCATGCTCTGTCTCTCTCTGTCCCAAAAATAAATAAAGGTTGAAAAAAAAAATTTAAAAAAAAAAAAAAAAAGGGGCGAGTTCACAAGCTGAATATTGTGCATTCTCAAAGAGCTCTGTGGCCCCTCAGCATTCGGGAGAGCTCACAGCTCTGGCCTCAGAATTCAGGCAGGAGGAGGGCTGTGAAGGAGTGTGTATTCACAGGACCAGAGATGCTGAGATATCAGTGCAGCAAGAGGATGGTTTCAGACAAACTTTTGCATTTCTCTACTCCATTCATTTTTGCCCTTAGATGTTTCTATGGCAACACAACATATGTTTTGAAAGGATCAACCAAGCTGTTTCACTTGTTTATATTTTTGTTTCTTTCTTTCTTGGGTTTGGGGTTGGGGTGGGAATAACTTTAAGGGCATTCATGCCCCTAAGGTCAGAAGGAATACAGTACAGCCACCAGAGCACACACACTCAGCAGCACAGATGACTGCGTTCCAGACACTGCAGCAGGCACCTTCCCCTTCTCAGGATTCTTCATCCAGACCCCATCCTACTGGTCCCCTGTATCCTTTTCAGTTCTATCTCAGATCTTTAAACAACTTAGCATGAGGACTCTGACCTAGTTGTGTCTTTGAGAGATAAACAGGGACCAGTGAGATCCCTGGCACCCAAGAAGGCAAGATGAGATGAATGGACATTTGGACCTAGGGTCAGGAAATCTGGTTTCCCATCTTCAGCATTTACCTCCCTGGCTGGGATCTTATCAGCATCCCGGTTTTTCAAATGAGGAGGTTGATTAGATACCCTGTAAGATTCTTTGTATCTCTCCAACCCCATGGCTTTAAGCAGAATCCTGTAACTTGTGCCAAGGAGGTGCATTCCCATAATGTGAAAGCACTTTCCTGGGATGAGATTGCTCCTTATGGAGAGGGGTTCCGGCCTCATCTCCCCTCTCTATAGTCTGCACACTTTCCCAGGGCAACCTCATCCAGGCCTCCCCTGACAGCCAAACTCCTCCTGAACCCCCACTCTGTATGTCTGATGACCAGTAGTCCCAACTAAATGTCCCACAAATGCTTTAATTCAGCAAGTCCAGAACTGCTGTCTCTCCCCTCATGTCCCCCTCTGCAGTGAGAGGCATCACCATCCACAGTCACCCAAGTTAGAAACCTCAGGGAGGGGGGCAGTGCATTTCTTTCACTGCCTCTTCCCCCAACCCCTATATGCAACCAGAAACCAAATTACATCCTTCTGTCTCTCAAACCTACCTACCTACTTCTCACCAATCCCAATGCCTACCTTGGCTCAAGCCTCCATGATCTCTACATGGGTCACCTCCCCCCAAATCCTCCCACCCCATCACCACCCTCCTTACATAGACCAGTGCCAGACTACAATACACATCTAACCCCATCATTCACTATCTCCTCAGTGTAGAATTCAAGCACGCAGGTGTAGCCATAAAACCCCTGGTCATCTTCCTCCTACCAACCTCTCCAGCCCCACTTCCTCTTAGCCTTCACTCCAGCCAATCAGATGCCTGTATTACCTGAGGCTCTATACACACACACACACACACACACACACACACATACCTTACACAAGTTTCCTCAGGTTGCACTGTGCCCTTTTGTAACATGCTTTCAACACTGTCCTAATAGATATTTTAACCCCCAAATCACCTAATTTTAAAAGACCAGAGGCTCCCACATACTACTATTGGTTCCTGGGTCATCTCCCCCACCCCATGCAGCCACATCCCCAGACCAACCTTATGATGCTGTAATGGGTAGTAAGTAAAACACAAGTCTGCCCCTGAGGTGCTTGTTAATTCTGGATTCTCCATCCCCTTCCCACAGCTACTGCCTGATCAGGACCTTCATCAGCACATGAGCCAGTGGTTCTTAAACTTTTGGGTGCCTCAGAAACACCTAGAATTGCCTGCAATGCACATTTCCAGGCTCCATAGCCAGGACATCTACTTTAGTAGGTCTGGATAGGGCCCAGAATTCTGCATTCTTAAACTTTGCAACTTCAAACTGCTTCACCCAAAGCCGGACGCAGTGAGGCTGGCACTCACTCCAAGTCTAGTGCATCAGGGCAAAAATGGATGGGAGCACAGGCACATGTGTGGTCAGGCGTCTCCCCACAGAGCTATCCATTAGGCTACTAATGTCCCTGGTCTTGGAGCCCCCTCCCAGCAGGCAAGGCAGGAGGGGGTGTGCCTTCCCAGGTGATGCCCCCTCTCCACAGTGTGGGTGAGACCTGGAGGTCTTTGGTGAGCTCTGTCTGATCCAACAGAGGATGGGAAGATAGGTCCGAGGGTTCTGAGCCTAGCGCCCATTGGAGCCTGTAATCAGGCTTTCAACCTGTGGCTGAATGCCATGTGGACTGGTGTTTTGTGGCTCCAGTGTGAGATGAGCTGAGGCTCCTGCAGAGGTGAGCAGTGGAGCATGAAGGCATCCAGGCAGCCTTTGCCTGGTGGGGGCCATTAAGGCTATGCACTGGGAACAAGGTTGTGGGAGAAAGCAATTAGTGGTGAGGGAAGCCAGTGAATCAGCACAGAGTCGGCTCGCTCTAATTGAGCCAAAGAGTTTGTCCTGTTACGTGTGGGCTCCCAGGGACAGGAGCTTCATCCTTAAATGCAAAGCCTTTCTTCAAGATGGCAGAGGGAGGAAAAAGACTACCTCCCACCCTTGAAAAAACAGCTGAGCCTTTTCCCTTCACTGCCCCACCCCAGTGCCTGCCTCCATCCTAGAAATGCTGATTTTCTTGACTGACCTGGTCTGTGTCTTTGGACAAAGATTTTTTTATTTTCTCAAGAAAGACAGAGACTTCAAATTCAGGGTCAGTGTATATGAGCAGATTGGCTCTGTTTGAGCTGCTGTTAGATTTTCAGTGTCTCAACTTCTTTGTGGTTGTGTTTCTGTCCTGTCATTTTGGAGACCTTGATTAGCATACTCTCCAAGGCAGCTTCTGTTATCCTCAGGATTTGTCACCTCAGTATTGTAATACACTGTTCTTGTGGTCCTGTTCCCTCCTTTCTCAGCCGTGTTCTCTGTCCTGACATCATTTCCCTCTAGATCAAGACATTATGAGGTCTCTTCTGAGAAATGAAACATTCACTGATGAACTAAATAAGATGTTTCTCCAAAATGTGTAATTTTTCCACCACCCTAATATTTGCATTTTAACAGGGGGCATTTGAAGACTAAAAAAAAACAAAAAAAAACAAAAAAAAACAAAAACAAAAACAAAAAAAAAAACCTTAATGCCCAGTGGATTGGAGCTCTAAGGTTGAAACAGACTGTGGAGTTGGTAATCTGGTTTGGGGGTCCCACCCAGTGTCCCCCTAGATCCTACCACAGAGGGAACAGCATTCTCCTCCACCTGCTTGTGTGCTCTACTGGTTCAGAAGTTACAAACCCCCAATCTAATGACTATTTTTCTCTCTTTTCTATTTTTGTTTCTTAGGAACGAGTGGAATATCTCTTTCTCATAATTTTTACTGTGGAAGCATTTTTAAAAGTAATAGCCTATGGACTTCTCTTTCACCCCAACGCTTACCTCCGCAATGGCTGGAATTTACTAGATTTTATAATTGTGGTTGTAGGGTAAGTATAACTACCTTTCTCTATTCCCTCCCCTTACCCCTTACCATCAACAAATGCATATCTCCTTTTCCTTCTGTATTTGTATCTCTTTTTGGTTTGGTCACAGTAGCACTGGGCTCTAGGCAAGATGAGAGGATCTATTAAAAGTCACTTTGAATTCAGACTTTCTCCAAAGGGAAAAGATCTCTTACCTAGGAACACCTCCTTCACACACGCACATGCTCACACATGTGCACTCATGTGCACAGACACACACAGGAGTGGAATCTGAGTGCTTTTAATGAAACTCAGTGTCCTCCATGCAGCTGAGTCCTCTGCTTAAGGTCTTTTATTCTGTCTCCAACCACATCTGGCCCAACACCTCTTCAGACTGGTTTCCCTGCCACATCCCTGAGCAGGGTTAGTCCAGCCTGCCTGTGAGCATGGCGGTGGGGCGAGGCTGGCACACACTGTCCTGTAGATGCCTGCTCTCACCTCTTCAGTGGGCCTTGTCCAGGGTCCCAGGAAACAGGCTGCTCAAGATAAAAGGGTGAGGAGAAAGCAGAGAACTATGAAGGGCCAAGGTCGTGGGTAACCCAACTAGAGCCAAAAACGCCTTTCCCTAGAGGGATGCTTTGCTGTGGCAAAAGGTGAAGCAAAGTCAATATATGCCTTTAAAAAAAATAAAGCAATGTAAGCAATATAAGCAATTGTAAATAAAATTTATAAGTGATGATCTCCTTATCAAGGAATTAGTAACTTTGCAAAAAGATTCTTTATGAAATATTTGGGTTTTTAAATATTTATTTATTTTTGAGAGACTGCAAGTCGGGGAGGGGCAGAGAGAGGGGGACAGAGGATCTGAAGGAGGCTCTGCATGGACAGGCTGACAGCAGTGAGCCCGATGTGGAGCTCGAACTCACGAACTGTGAGATCGTGACCTGAGCTGAAGTCAGATGCTCAACTGACTGAGCCACCCAGGTGCCTGTCTATGAAATGTTTGTCCCTAAACAGGCCTGCATGTGCTATGCAAAATGTCATTTACTAAGACACAGTTCATGAAGTTCCAACCAGTCATCTATTTTTTGAGGGGAGGGCACCTTTACAGCAGATCCTACTTGAGGAACAAGCTGGCTTCTTTGAACTGATCTGCTATTACTCTGAACCCAGAGAGTGGTCACACAGTGACCACCTTGCATTTTTACTCCCTTGGAGTTCTGACAGGCTTCAGTGTCAAGGTCAATATGTCATCAGGCTCATATCCCAGGAGCCTATTTTTGATTGATGCCATTTGTGCCATCCCAGTGAAGACATAGGTCCTTCTGGACTCCTCCATAGCACTCACTGCTCATTCTCTCATGGGACTGACTGGTCTTTCCTGCAAGAAATAACAAGAGAAAATCAAGATCATTTAGAAGTTATTTCCTTGTCTCTGGCCATCTGGATGGCTATTTGGGTTGTTTGGAACTGTTTTAGGGGTTTTCTTTGTTGTCTTTTTTTTTTGTGCAGCCTATGAATGACACACTTTGGCCACATTAGCATCAGGGCTATTTGGGTGACATGAGAAGCACCAAAGTTCTTGGAGTATTTGCCAGGAATAGATCTGGCTCCAGAGGACTCAGAGTGAGGATGCAGCTCTAAGAGATCTTGCTGCTTTTGTTCATGCCAGGATAAACAAAGAAGAACTGAACAAACACCTTGCATTAACTCAGTAAGCCATAGCAAAGGCCTTTGAGGTGCCTTGTTCCAAATGCCCCTAAATCCCTTCAAATTCAGTGTCTTTCTCTAGGCCTCAGGCCCCAGGGGACCTTTCACACATAGAAAAGAGCCCCAGGAATGAGATTTATCAGGAGTTGAGGGTGCCTGCAGGGACCAACTTTGTTTAGTCAGAGAAGCTACATGTTCTTCTCATGTTTATGGAAATGAGTTAGAGTTGAGTGCATACAGCGCTCTGCCCCCTTCATGGCCCTACCTACAGCATGGGAGGTGGAAACAAGAGGCACAGGGCAGACCTCAAAAGGGAGCCCTAGAGGGGCCTTGTCATGCAGTTGCACACTTGGTGACACTTGCTCGTCTTTTGCTGGGTTGGACCCTTGCCTTGCTGTTCTTCCCCATAAGCACAGAGGGCAGACTTTTTGTGGAGTCAGCCCAGGTTTCAGTCACATCTTCCTGGGGTCTAGGCCATGAGGCTGATGAAGAGGCCCCCTTCAAAAAGATCAGAGGAGGGCACTTGTTGGGATGCACACTGGGTGTTGTATGGAAACCAATTTGACAATAAATCATATTTTAAAACAAAACAAAACAAAACAAAAAGATGCCTCTGGTAGATTGT